AAAAAAAGGAAAAAATTCAGAAAAAAAATCAAAAAAAGAAAAAAACTAAAAAAAAAAAAAAAAAAAAAAATCAAATCACCTTGTGATTCAGTGTATCTGTTTACTAACTCAAATAAAAGCAATTGTTCCCTCTGGAGGGGCACCGTGCCCCGTCCCACCAGGCCAAGGAGCCTCAGCTGGAGGGCGGTGGGTCACAGGTGGGCAAGGCCAGCATGGCCCACACCAGCCTTGCGACACCCGGGCCATGGATTCGGTGTACATACTGTATTTCTATATTCTCCTTTGTACAGTCATTTAACACGTCAAGCTACTGTTTTACAGGTGCTCCTTATTTATTAGAGCCGTGAGAGCTTGGGGGACACACTGGCGAGTGAGCTCGCTTTTTAAAAATGAAATTTGGGGGCAAGGGAAGGGAGGCGGGAGGGAGGGAAAGCTCGCAAGCCTGGGAGAGATTTATAAAAGTGAACAAAAGAAAAACTTCCAGCAGCAAATTCAACCAACCAACCCACCCCAACACCAAACCCACCCATGCAGGAAGCAGCAGCTTCGCATCTGGGTGCTCATTTTCCTGCTGGCCCCATTACATTCTTCTCTTTCCCTGACTGGTGTCAGATTCATCAAACAAAAATAAATCTCTAAGAAAAAAAAAATGCACTTACATGCGCTTATTTGGCTTTTCTCATTATTATTATTGTTGTTATTTTCCTTGTTACACAAAGTGCTTCCTTTTCGCCCCCTGGGAGAAATTTTAAAAGTGAAGCTAGTAAGTTTTAAAAGATGGTGAGACCCAGGGAGCACTGGCCCTTCCGTTGCTGCTGTGGAGAGCTGTGCAGACCCGGACCCACCCGGCACATTCACCCACCTGCTGCGCCCTCCCCCGTCATGCAGCACACAGCGCATGTGCAGGGGGCCCTTGGGGCGCTGCAGACCCAGGTGTGCAGTTCTGTCAGGTGTTCCCCAAGCCTGGTCTTTTTTGACTCTGAGGCTTTGGGTTTAAGGTTCAAGAGATACCATCCCATGGATGGAATCATTCCCCAGAAATCCTACTCATTCTGTGCTCGTCTCACCAGCGCCTACAGGGCCTTCTGTTTCAGCTTTACGTGAAGGGCACGAGTCAGTCCGGCCTTTCTTTGGTGTGTGAATTAAACGTCGGATGATTATTCCTAAGGTGCAACATACACTAATAGCAGTTCTAATAAATGTAAGTCTAGTCCAGTTCTCTAGTTATATTGATTAAAAAAAACAAAGCCTAAAATCAGATCAGCTTGTTCAGAGTCTACACTTCGTTGATTTAGCTTATCAAAGAATGAATATTCATTCAAATCTTAGCCACCACCAGCAGTTCCTGTGAGGCCTGGCCTTGTGCTCTGGCAGAGCCTGAGGGGTTGTGCTTATGATGGTGACTCTGTCAGAACTGCGCTGAGGCAGGTCCAGCAAGGACATACCAGGAGCCAGGAGCCCCCTGTGGCTGTCTGGTGCAGGGTCCCCAATACCATTATTCATCTCGCCTTGGCCATGACGACAGCCATCCAAGATATTGATTGTGCTTTTGTTTCTAGTCCAGGGTCTTCGAGCAAACACTTTGACCCTTTCAGAAACAAAGGGTGCCTTCGTTCCAACAAGAAGAGATGGTGGCGTCTCGTTAGCCATCGGCACCTTTTCCTCCTCCCCTTTCTTCTCCTGACCTTAGTGCTGTCTGAAGAAACCAGTCTCTTAGGCTGTCAAACCATATATGAGGAGAACTAGAATGATTATGAAGACAATAGCTAATATGCATTGAGCACATAGGCGGTAGCCTCAATCTTTACAGCAACCCTATGAGGAAAGGACTTACTCTTTCTCCCTTATTGTGGATGAAGAACCAGAGCTCAGGGGTTTAGTTACCACCCAAGGTCACATGCTTGGTGAGCGCCAAGGCCAGGAGGTTTCGGGCCATGTCCCAGGCCCTACATTTGACCTGGGGAAAAACTGTTGACGTCCTCGTAAAGTGTCATTTTGTCTTCATGTAAATGTGTGGCGGTGATTGAGCCTTATACTTAAGAGGTCCTCATTTTAGCCTAAACCAGTGGGATGAGTGTTAATGGTATCGCCCACCGCATCTGACTGGATGGGGGCACCTGTGAGGACGCTCACCAGACAAACGAACCAGGTTTGTTTTACTTGGCAATTGCTGAACCTGCACAGGATGTAGGCCCGTGTCTAATGCCGAGGGAAGAATGACATAAGAAATAGAGCCCACAGCCCCTGCCTCAGCAGCTTTTGCTTCATGGGAGAAGTGGGCTGTGGACAAGAGGGGCCACTTGGTGATCCTGTCTGAATCTTTCTCAAGGCGCATATAATTGCACATCGGGAGCCCGAACTCACACACTTTGCAGCCGCCCTCCTCGTGCAGTGCTCCCCTGCTCTAGGGCTGCATGCTGGGCTGGAGGCACCAGCTCCTGCCGCACACTCAGTGCAGCCAGAGATACAAGCTGAGGCTCTGGCCTTGCCACCTCCCCAGCTGGCTCGGTCCACTCCTCGCCCTGCCCCCCAGCCTCACCTCCACACACCTAATGGAGTGAGGAGCTGACTCCCCGTGGCCTTGCTGTCCCTGTGCCCCACCTTCGCACGCAAAGCTGCCTCTGCCTCAGCGGCTTCCTTCTGCTCCCTGAGCCTTCCCACTGCCCAGCTGCTCGGCATGGTTTCCTTCCTCCCTCCACGCTGAGCTCCGTCTTGTGCAGATCACACTGCTTACGCAGCTGCGCCCCGGCCTTGCCTTTTACAAATCCACAAAGTCCTTGAAGATGGGGATCATTTCTTACTTGCTTCCTATCTGCTAGGCCCCTCACTATTTTAAAATTATTATTAGTATTATTATTTAAAAAGGAATAAGCCACCCCTTCAAGGCTCATTTCACAAGCCAACCCTTCATGAAGCCATGCTGGGTCCCCAGGTAATGGCTTCTCTCTTGGGCCCAGTTTAAACTGTGCCTCCAGTTCAAATCAAGCCAGGCCACTTCTGGAGATGTCCTTAGCAGGTTATCTTGGCCCTACAGCCCTCCTAACTTGGCATCCTTAGAGAGCTATTCTCTGCCCTTGGAACTAAAAATGCTGACTGAGTCGAAGTTGTGTGATGCTCTGAGCCCAATGCTAGAGGACAGAAGAACCCTGAGAACCAGAACTGTGGCAGCAAACGTGGAGAGATGTGGCGGGGAGTTTCCCTGTGTTTCTGGCGCTCCGGGAGGGAGGTGCGGGGGAAAGCAGCCAGACTCAGCTGTGTCCCTGTGCTTCCACGCTGAGCACCGAATCCAGGTCACAGTACTGTTCATGGTTCCCTCAGGGAAGTGACGTAGAGATGCGGTCAGTCCTGGACCCTTGAACCCATTTGTGGATAGCAAGTTGGCCTACAATCCCTAGAAAGTACCTCTTATTCTAGCTTCTTGACTGTGGGTGGAAAGATCATTTGCCACTATGTGTGTCATTCTTCCAAGAAGGGAGGAAATGGCTCATCCATTAGGGGTGTCGGGGATTTGGTAGTAAGGGAGGCACTAGGGTCATCATCATCATCATTGTCATAATCATTATCCTCATCTCATAGCCAAAGAAATGGCGGCATGGGGACAAGGGGGTTTTCTGTCCCAGGCACAGACAGTAAGAGGCAGAACCCA